GCCATTGACCACAACTCTTTGAGTGCAACAAAACAACAAAAACTAACCCTACAGACCTTTGCAAAGTATAGTTTGAAAAATAAAGCCTGTAAGTAAAAGATTAAATTATTTCACTTTTCCACACACATTTTCTTGTTCTGAGCAACATATACCTTATTTTCATTTGAGAAACCTGTTACTTCTGCAAAAGGAAAGAGAATGCATTTGCCATAGCCCATAAATCTGCCAAGAAGAATATCCACGTTCACACTAGGATTGACTACTGCTATGTAACAGCTGAGCAACATGCAGTATGACAGCTGCATCACTGTAATCGCAAGCAGGATGCTAATATAAAAGCTAGATAAAAGCTGATGGATAAAACATCAAGGAGGTATGAAAGCACAAAGAAGCAACACTTCACAGAAACACACTTAGCTCTCTAAAAGTTAAATTATATGCATCTCAGGCACTTTTAGCGCTTCAGCAAAACAGAACATTTTTATCTGAAGTAGTTAATTCTAGTGTAGCATGACACAACTGAGTTTGAAACCAGCAGAGGGCTAAACTGTCATCAACTAGACAGAACACGGTCTAAATTATTATTTTTTATCTATGGGAGATTTTAATTTTACTATAGATAAAAGCCTGGAATAACAGTCTGTGCTTTTATCCAAATATACCTATTCTGAATGCAAAGAGTAAAGGCACTGCCCGCGTTCTTCCCCAACCAGCAGAGCTACTATTGAGGGAAGATCTTCTAACTCAGGTACTCGTGAAATGAAGTCTCACAAAGACACAGCGGCAAATCAGAAACAGTAGCAAGCACACCAATGGGGTGTCAGGCGAGTCCTGCAAAATCCCATTCATGTGATCGAGCCAGACAAATCGGAAACCTTCCTGTGCAGTATATAAATTACACAAAAAGAGCCTGAGCAGAATTTAAGAAGTACAAGGTTGAAAAACTTGTTTTTATAAAACACGTGCTAAAGAGTTGACTGCTTTACGTATACTAATCCAAAGTACCAGTCTCAGTTCCTTTTGCCAGTCCATACTGGAAAGACTTCTTGCTTACTCTCCTGGCACTGCAGATGTGTTATCTTCAACTATAGTGCCATCTACTGCTGAAAATTGCAAAGAAAGCACTAAATGGGATGGCAAAGGAGGGATTTACATGTTTTCTTATTAAGGGCTGAGAGCAGGCATCTTGTCAAAAGTTTGAGAAACTTTGTTTCATTTCGTATAATTGATTTGTGCATCTAGGCACGATTTTAAATGCGCAGTCCAAGCTTCTTGTTTCTCTGTAGAAAGGTGCAAAGCAAACATTAATTAAATTTGCAAAAGAAATGTCACCTACAAAGAATGGCGAAGTAAAGCAGAATGAATCTGCTTTCTAAAGACTTTTTTGTTTGTTTACTGTAGAGAATATAAGTCAATAATCTGCATCCTGAGAAGTCAGAAAGGACTTATGCCAAGTAGTCTCAGGAGAAACAAACTTCAGTTTACCAGTAAATTTACAAATACTATAAATAGTTTGGTGAAGTAGAACATAAATAATCTATGTACATTGCAAAGCATTAAAAAAATAATCCAAAAAACAGTTGCAATTACTTCAAGTAAAAGTGCCTGAGAAGCACAGAATTTACATTTTAGAGCCCAGTTTAAGCACCCAATGTGTGATGTAAGAAAAAAGAGCCCTTACCCCAGTCCTGTTCATACAAGGCTTGGGAAAGGCACCATGATTCACTTATTGGCATGTGTGGATGCACAAAAACAAGATGCTCTGTGAGATTTCAACATAATGTACCTCTAACTACAAAAAAAAATGAACTTCAACTGGGGAGACCAAGTTACAGTTTACACAACACGCACAAAATAAGCATACATATCTTTTCACTATTTCAGTACACAAAAATGCATTAACATTAAATCAAACACTAGAGCATTTCACTATAGTCACTGAATTACAAAGAAAAAAGCCAGACACGTAACTCTAGCCAAGTTAAAAACATTAAGTGGAAAAATATACCACTTTTTAGCCTATAATGTAGCACTATGAAAGTAAATTCCAAGTGTGAGTGCACTATGCTTATCCTTATTTTGCCATAACATAAATGAAATTAGTATTTCTACAAATACAATATTCCATGAAGTCAATGCTTCACTAAATCATGATATAGAAAAAGAGAAGTCTAGAATTTAAAGTAATCCCACATTAACAATCCAAGAAACAGAACTTTAAACATGTTAACCTCAAAACATGAAACCGCCAAATTCTTAAAACTGGTACAACTCAAAGATTGTGATCTAGAAGTAATTTCAGGCTCTCCCAACATTGATGGTGGTTTTCTCAAATGTCTGAACAATTTAGTTCAACTGTATTGAACTACACTTCCACTGTACGTCACAACATTTGTGAAATGCATAGAGCCAAGGAAGTAATAAGAGAACCTAACAAAGGTCATCTTACAATTTTGCCTCTCTTAGAGGCAGTATTAAGTAATTTTCCAAGGTTTCCAACATTTATATAAGCATGCTTAACAGAGTACAAAAATAAATGTACTCAAAAGTAAAGTGGATGCTTATGCACCATAAAAGTTACCAGAAGTACTTTAAAATTTTATTTAAAAGAGAGCATTTTTAACACACAAATCTCTCTCTAGAGGAGTGCAGTGTACTCAACACATTATTCATAAGTTAAATTACTTGTTTTCCAGGTATCCAGAGCATCATATCTAACCCATTTTCAGCTTCTGGCTACACAAACCTGAGGAAACTACTGTATTAACCAGAGCATGTAGATATTAGTTCATAATTAAGAGGTTTCTACTGCTTTAAAAAAAAAAATGCTGTGTTTCAAACAACTATGACAATAACTTTGTATCTACAGAAGTATTAAAATATTCTTCAGTTTGTTTTTTTTTCATCATGAAGAAAAGCTTCCTAGTCTCCAAGAACTGAACAAAATCCAACTTTAGCAGGACTGACTTCTGAAATATGAATTTCCAGAGCTAAAGAAACACATACAACCTGAAAGGGTAGGCACCTAATCAAAATGTTTCCTACTTTCACAAGATGGATGTTCAAGCTGCTTTTCTGTATCACAGCAGAATGATCTACCCAAACTAGTGTTTCAAATTGAAAGTTCTGAACTAAATCTACATAGATTTAAAATAAACTGCTATGAACTGTATTGTTTGAACTTCTCGTAGCTTTTTAGAGAAAGAAAATATGCATAATGCTTTATGCAAACTAACCACACTTGAGCTTTTGCCAAAAGTGTGAACTCCTTTAGAAGCCTGTGAGAGCAAACTAAATTCTTCTAAAAGAATTTTGATAGATATAGTGCAAAACAATTTCACTGTTTAAAAAACAAAGGTGGGGTGGATTGACCTTTTAACTTAGTTTCAAATAAAAGGGGAACTGCAAGCACACCTAATAAATGTTACCTAATTTCCATCAAAAGCAAACTACATGTAATAGTTACATAACTGCTAGGTTCCAAGCCTGAAGTGAATGGAATCCTTACCGCTGTTTCACTAAAAGGAAATGCTTCCACCTTGATTATTGAAATAAAATGCTTATTGTGGTTGTAATACATCCTCTTGTTTCTACTTCTTCCCAAACTCTTATACACTCACTGCTATGTTTTCTATGTAAAATACTGATGGCATTATATTGATAATTTATAGATAGTTACAAGTTTTCCTCCTGAAGTTATACCAGTGGAAAACTCTTATCATTCTCCTGCAAACAGGAAAGTACAGCTGCCTTCAGCAGTTTCCTTCCTAACTCCAGTTGAATTGGTAACAGACACAAATCAGTCAAAAATGTCCCTAAGCTCTGCTGACCAGAAGTGAAGTTAGTAATGGCACTAGCAGGGGTGATATGTAGAACATCAGGAAAGAGAGCATCTCTTAATATCTATTCCAAACAACAACTGATGAAAGAGTGCAAGAAGACCACGCTGAAGCTTTCTCACGTTTAAATGTGAAAGCTAGTCATCTCCAGAATTTCTTACCAGCTCTTTCAGATTTTTCTTTCTGTTCTTTTAATTCCTCGCCTTTTGTAGTTACTTGTTTGATCCGAGCACGCAGTTGGGCTATCTCCTCCTCCTTCATTTCCAAAGTCTCATGCATTTGTCGCTTTGTCTCTGCAATTACCATGCCCTATGGAAAAGGTCCTTGTGATAAAAAGCTAGCAAATAAATAAAACATATAGCTAAAACAATTTCAAGCCAGGATGCATCCTTGTCAGGAATAAACTTTAGTCTATTACTACAAGACCAGAGATCATGGTATTTTTCTATGTCAGAAAACAGAAAATGCTAACAAAAAGGAGGTAAGAATAGGAATTATTTTGAAGAGTAGCCAAAATTTATCTAGCGGTGAAAAGAACTCCTCCAGCAACTAAGGACCATCAGAAAAATTTCTCCTTCTGGTAGAGATACTTTTCTTTGAAATATGCACTCTGTAAACGAATTAAAACTAAAAGCATTGTAATGTGTGTGCTTCTCCTTAGATAACATGCACATATAATAAGTGTTAATGATGTTGCTTATTACACCACCAGAAGTTACTCCAAGTACCAAGACTGTGATAAAAAAAAAACAACTTTAAGGAATAAAAAACTGAGAAAGTCTTCATATTCCTAAGGAGTTACAGTTACTTTTCCTTCATTGATCATTTTTTAATTCATTTACATAGTATCTCATCTTCATTAATGTTTGGTTTGGTTGTTTTTTTTGTTTTGGGGTGGGTTTTTTTGGTTGGTTGATTTGGGGGTTTTTTGATGGGGGGTTTTTTTTTGTTTGTTTTTAAAGCTGGCATTGAGGAGTGTATTCAACATGCTTGCTCCATCCTAGATAACATCATCTTGCAGTATTAAGTATAACCTAACAGACAAATACCCTAAAGTATCTATACAATAAAATTTTCAGGTACCTTAAATGATTTGCTCATTAAAATATAAACTAAACCACGTCAGACAACTAAGAACAGCTTCTAATACCAAGAAGCCAGATATTCTGAGTTCTAAACAATCTTCTTCAAAAATTACACAAAAGTTTAAAAAAAGTTTTTTGTTTACCTTGTCTTGTTCTAGCTGCTCAATCAAATTTTTTGCATCACGCAGCTGTGTAATCAGTTTAGTCTTCTCAGCCATGTGAAGGTCCTAAAAAAAAAAAAAAGACCCCAACCACAGTTTAAAGCACTGCCATCTGTAAGAAAATACCTTCTTCTGACAAACAGCTTCAGTTTGGCTCTTACCCTGGACTATGCCTTGGAGGAAGAGCACAGAACAGGGAAATTAAAGCAGGCAGCTTTAAATTACTTTTAAATCTCCCAGTGCTAGGCTGCCTCATGGCTTCCATATTAATTCAGATATCTGGAGGCTTTGTTACAGCCTCCATAGTTCTCACATGGATGTCAGAGCTGCTACAGCAAAATGGTCAGTAAAAAGGTGTCTAAGGCACCTGCTCTATTACCTGCATATCGGTTTACAAGAGGATCTCAGCAATGAAACATAATTGCTCATTACTGGCCTTGTTCTGGAAAAGGTCCTTAAAATACTCAAGTCTTTCAGAGCTCTTTCAAACTGAGACCAACACAGAGAAGAGAATCTGATCTCCAGAACTGAAGTTGAGCACAGCTATACTTCTCATATTTTCATGTTTCCATTACCATCAGCCACATTACTTTTATTCCACACTTGGCATTAATGGCATTAAAAAGAAAATTGAACAAAATATTGATTTGGCTTTGGGACTGCACTTATGTTACCTTCACTATATTGTGCTCTCTACTGTCCTGCCTTTCTGTGCTTTCTGTTCATTTACGTAACTCATGCCTCTTCCACTATGTCTTAACAGTTTAGCTCTGCTCCACTTTTCTCACTTCCTGGCTTCTGTGCTAAGAGTCTTTTCCTCACCCCAGCTTCCCACAGCTACTTTATTTCTGATACCATTTTGATGGTTATTCTTTACAGCTTTTTGAGTAATTGCTCAATGTGTTCATTCCAGGTGGGTTTTGCACCTTTAACTCAAAAAAAAAATAAAAATACAGGGACAGTTTGTTTAATGGTCTGCCCTATTAATAAATCTTAGAAATACTGGAGTTCTTACTGTGTTTTAGTAGCTACCCATAAAGAGCATTTTCTATACCTTCATTTTCTCCAGTTCCTGAAGCCTCTCTTCTAATTGTTCTTGAAGTGCCTCTTTCTCGTTGGTTAACTGGGCACAGCGCTCCTTATGTGACCGAATCATCTCCTTACAACGTTGCAGCAAATTCTCCTGGCGCTTCACCCTCTGATTAAGAGTTTCCAATGTTTTAACAGAATCTTCATTACCCTCTACAAGACAACATACCAACAATATCATATGCACACTGTTTCCAAAACGTAGATCTGCATTCATCATTCACGTTGTGGGCAACTCACAGGTCTCTAAAGAAAGTTGTGCAAAGTCTGCAAAACTTCCTAGTGACTACTGTATCTGCCAGAAACATGCCACACATACACAGAATAGTAAATACAGTCTTTTACCCCAAATTAATTTACAAAACCCCAGTTACTATACAAGCTTCAAAAACATACTATTATTCAACAAGGTTTTCTACGCAATTAAAAAGTCATCATGATTTATAAACCTGCCCGCTGCTACTAACAGAATCATCACAAGCAGGAAAAAAAAACACAAAGCAAATGAAATCACGTTTCTCAAGTGCCAAGCACACAGATTCCTGCTTTCCCAGGCCTGAGTATGATGTTAATTCTAATATATCCAGGTTGCCAATACTACATTCGTCAGGATAAAGGCCACGTTTAGCATCTTTCCAAGCTGTACTCCTCTCTGTATAGCTAGCACATTGCCTAGTATTTCACTGTGTGTTCTGCTCTGATGCTCTGGAGGCTGTAAGAGCACTTGGCATGAAAATAGGATCAGACAAATTCAGACGTTCAGTTCGCAACCGTAAGTCTTACACACTATTGTCCCAAAACAGACTCCAGCACAGGAAACATCTTGAACCCTGATTCTCAGGGACTGGATACTTACTAAGCACTACAAAAGACATGACACTGGATAAGAAAATCTCTGATCTAAGCAACCCTTCATATCATCCTAACATACAAAAATCATGGCAGATGCTGAACAAAGATCATTTCAAGATGCGTGTTCACCGCTGTCAGAAGCCTATCCTTTATGAAAGATACCAAGGAATTACACTTTCATTATATACATTACATATCAGCATTATAATGTCCCTTGCTCAGTAATCAAATATACACAATACTGGGAGTCCCATAACTCAAATAACCTCCTGATGTGAGAAACAATTAGATTATTCAATAGTCTGAATATTAAAATTGATCTTTGCTTTTAGTTTTTCCTGAGAAAGAAAGAAAACAAAACAGAAGAAAAAAAAGAAAGACAAAGGAAAAAAGAAAAAGAAAAAAAGAAAGAGATAGACTGGCAACTGGTCTCTCAACTCCAGGGATAGGTCCTTGCTTATGGGGGGCAGAATCTCTTAATAATGGTAAGTGGGGACAGTAACAAACTGTACTGGCAAAAGCAATAATTACAATACTGTCATCATTGACAAAGGCGAGATGTATCAGATTTGAATTCTTATGAAAATTTAGTAGCTTAGAAGGGTTATCCTGTCCTCTAGCTGCCACACTGTTTTCAAAACAATTGTCTCCTAGAAAATATATCCTTACTATGACATGTTCAGCCCTAAGTATTGTTACTCCATCATAAATAGCAGGAGGCTCATTCCCCAAAATTCAAGATCTCTTGAAAAAGCCACAATACCTACCATTGCTTCCTGGTTCCACAGTATTTTCTGTACTGATTCCTTCTGTTGGACTTTGAGCTTGTGGTTCAGATTGGATATTTGGATCAGGCAATTCAGTGCTTATCTGACCATTCTGTAACCTCTGTTTCAGCAATGATACCTGAACAAAATGTTCTTTTTGTTAATACAACCAAGGATTCTAAGTAGATCATGTTTTCATATTCAAAACTGGAAGAGTTAAAAATTGGTATCAGCAAGCAGAAAAAGCAAAAATCTGTCTGAATTTTTTTAGTATTTTTAAAATTAGAATTATGTTTCCAATTAACAAAAATAGTACCATTATGAGTGGAGAAACAAAGACCAATTAAGCAAAACACAAACTTTGCCAAAGCAATTTTAGCTCAGACATCTGCTAATGTTATGTTCTTGATTACAAAGGTATTTAAGTGCAGATCAAACAATCATATTTAATGAGTGAGATTTTACAAAGGTATCCTCTCCCACAAAGATGCACTTAATTTCTAGATAATCATAAGTTCTCAAGAAGCTTTACAACATTGCAGCAATTATAATAAAACATGGACATGCATTATAGGAAATACATATTTTTTTAAAAAAAAAAGTAGGAAGAGCAGTTTTAAAGAACATCTGTTGGGTAAGGTATCTTACTTGCGTTTGCAGGACACTGATAAGTTGATCCTTTTCTTCTAAGGAAGCATCAAATTCCTCTTGGAGATGTTTCTTAGCTTGTTGATCCATCTGGAGCTCCTGAGAATCATAAATAAACGTGTCTCAAATGAAAACTGACATGTGAATTTAAAAGGCTTATCAAAACATTATGATAGAATATTAAAAATACCTCTTTGCAGTTGCAACCCCAGAATACAACCATAAAGTGGGTATTTCTTTTACTATATAAAGTTCCACACAACATCCCATTATAATATCAGCATTAAACCAGTAAGAGTCTAGATTTTATGCAAAATTACCAAGGATTCTCTCTTCCTAAAAATAAATTTGTGTAAGGATCACTTCAAGCCTGCTCCTGAAAACCATTTTCCATGCACACATTTCTCCTGGAAGTTAAAGACTGCACTTTGGTAAACAAGATTCTTCTTTTAGCCACTAGATTAAGTCAACATAAACAGTAGAAATGTAAATTTCTCTTATGCTCATTCAATATGTTAGCATTCTAATATGACAAATGCCATTTCTAAGAGCAGAAAGTTGGCTTTTTTAATTCTCAAACGCTTGTCAAATGAGAAAGCCAGAGAATGCCAAAGAACTTAAATATGTGGCCTTACTTCCCACTTACTTGCATTCATTTGGCTGAACACCTTTAGAAACTTGTAGATGTTGCTTAAGTGCATCATTAGGATCTACATAATCTTGTAAAATACTGCCTTAGGGAGGTTTATTTACTTCCTAGGCTTTCAAAGTTTAAATATTTTAATATCATTAAATAATTATTGTTCTAATAGAAAATAAATGTATTTATAGTTAAATTAATTCACATCTGCTTATTGAATCAGAACCATACACATTTCATGCATGCACTGTAAATAATTTCCCAAACGTGTACTTTATTTTTTTTATTAATATATGTACTTCATGCATATATAACTTCCCAGTGATTCACCCCAGTAAACTAATGCTTCTGTGACCATTATTCTACAAATACCGCTTGTATAAAAGCAAGTGCCACTCATAAACATGTGTTCTGATAGCCAGGCAAAGATAGAGGATGATAGAGAAAGAAAGGATGAAAAAGCAAAGAGACAAAACACAGGGCAATGGATGCTTCCTGCGTTGCTTTCCTCCAACTCCGAATCTTGCTTTTATACTCTCTTGCTGCTTATCCCTTACCTCCAACAGTGAATCCTAGCTGCCATGGCTGAGCCTGATACCAGCTTTGAGAACCACAGCTGCGCGAGCTGAGCCTGCCCAGCCACACACAGGCAGGACTGTGCTAGAAGGCATCACTGGGAAAACTATTCCTCTCTCGTCCCATGTAACTACATCCACTTTTTAACGCTGCATTACCTCAGGATCACACTTCTGCCTCGTGCTTCTGAGCTTTAGAAGCAGCTCCTTCAAAGCAAAGCAGCTCAGTGCAAGAACAAGTGCCAAAGATATTTACTGAAACCAACACAGAAATAGTCCTCCTCAGATCGCAAAGTCTCTTCTGATCTTTGTCTGAGAAGGATAACACTGAAGACTGCTTGAAGACTGCTGTTGAGGAATTACTCTTAACAGGAAAAAACTAAGGTAAGCAAAAAGGCAGGGGGCTATTTCACACTGTCAACTTGGTCTCAAAAGAGACTTAGTTTATTCTTGCATGGCCCTCAGAAGAAACTCAGAAGAAACTGATTCAACATATTTATGGGGAAAATGGACTGTATGATGAAGAAAAGTATTTTTAAAATGAATTTCTGATAACATATTATTACACCAATGAATGATCAGGGGGTTGGACTAGATGACCTCTAGAGGTCCCTTCCAACCCCTACCATTCTGTGAATCTATTTTGTACCATTTTAGCTTCCACAATGGAAACATACCATTTTATTTGTAATTTTTAAATCCATTTTATCTAATGCTATAACACTTGGGCTTCCAAAAGACCAAAAAACTACTTTCTGAGGTTTTACAATTAATAAAAAAGAATGTCAGTGTTAGATTTCAAGAAATCTTTAAATCTACAAGATTTATAAGAATAAAATTAAATTTTATGCCAAATATATATACAAATTTATATATACACACACAAATCAGAAATATATATATATAAAACATACAAATATATGAATCAGAAAGACTATGACAGAAGAAGTGGGAAGAAAAAGTACACACACATCCAACCCTTTTTCATAATCAAAAGCCTTAACTCTGGTGTATCTATGCCTTCCAAACTTTACCAAGTACCAATGAGCTGGAAAACTAAACCTACTGGAGCATGCTGATATAGACTTAACATAGAATAAGCTTCTTTCATTTGACCTTGTAGTGAACTGGAAACAAAAAAAAAAAAAAACATTGGCAAGCCACTTCTGTCAGTAATGCTGTGGATTTTCCCCTCCTATGGGCTGACAGTTTAGCTTAGGACAGGGCGACAGCCCAGGTGCAGGCTCTGGCTTGGATGAGCACAGCACACCTAGTACTGGCCTGCTGTTCTCAGCTACTGGGGCAGAAGCAGCATGGATCTGAACCAAAACGCTACCCACGTGGCACACACAATTCACAGCCTGCTTACCTGGATTACACCCTGCATCGCTGAAGAAGAGCCCCTCGCAATTTGCCAGTGGCCTCCTTTGAAGTGACTAGCTGCCTGACTGGTCACACAGGGACAGTCTCTCGCAGGTGAGCATGAGCCTCGGGTACCTGCACGTCTGACGCTCAATTGCCATCCCTCGCCCTGAAGGGACCAACCTAGGCCCCTGTCTGAGGGCAAGATGCCCAACTGCCTGGAGCTAATTTGCTTTCAGGCTAAGGTGGGACCTCGCCATGGTCTGATGGTTCTTCCAGTCTCCACACCAGGGCTGTTGCTCTGCACGGCACATGCCAAAAATAGGAGTGCAGCCACAGAGGAAGCCCGTGACTTTGAGTGAGCTGGTACCCAGCTCCCAAGCGAGGTAAGAGCATGGACAGAGAGGCCCTTGCACACCTGTCTCCGAACTTGATGCCACCCTGGCTCCTGGAGCAGTAAAAAGGCTCTACCTTCACATTCTGCTTCACCAGGGTTTGACAATGTGGCTTTTGTGAATTTGCCCTTTTAATTTGCTCTACCGGATAATTTGTACATGTCTTTTAATTATGTCCAATGTGTTTATTACCATTACCAAATACATTCGAGCTTCTCCTTTTAATTTCACTATATCCTAAGGAGACAATAATCATAACACAACCTACCTGATTTTATGATTGAAATTAAACTATACTGAAAATCTATTAAAAATTGTAAATAGTATAATTGAGATCAAGATGAGCCATTAAAATCTTTATTAAAGAGTGCCTATTGTATTTACCTAACATTAGTATTTCTCAATACTAGAAGAGCAACAAATTGCACAGGGACATCTACTGCTGGGCCCAACAATACTGTAAGAACCATACACGTTTCTACCTATTTCACAATGAACAGAAAAGCAGTTCAGGCAGTACGATAAACTGCTCTGTCTTAGAGTATGACAATAAGTTGCTGAAAGGGAAACAAGCCAATGAAAAGAAGTGGTAAAAAACCCTGCTGTGCAACAGAATATATTTTGTAAAGTGAACCAAAAAATCAAAAGTTAGGCAGAGAAAGATCTTACGTATGTGTGGTATAAAGCAAATAATCAATAAAAGAAATTACCTCTCTCAGTTCTCCAATTCTGCGAAGTGCTTTATCCTGACTTTGACTCAGAATGCCCTTAAAAAAAGGAAGAATAAACATCAGGTGTAATAAATGTAACTTTATATATAAAGTATAAATAAATTCATAGAATTGTATTTCAGCAGAAGAATTAATGATTTGTATTTCTCTTTCAAATCAAACTTGATGTGGAAGTATTAGCACAAACTGCCAACTGTGGCCTGGCAATCTACCACCTGAATTCAGCTGATGCAATTAAATACAATACAGTACAACAGCTTCAGTTATTTTGACAAAACAATATTATCTTGGCTTCCTTAGAAATCCCAGCTAAGAGAGTCTCTTGTTATACACACACATGCATATATATGCACAACATATTGTATAAACACACACACAATGCACTGAAAATTACATCTGTATTCATACTACATGTTACGATTCAGAAAAGCATTCAGGTAAGAGAAGATAAAAAGTAATGCTTACCTGTAGCTTCTTCTTCTCCCGCTGGATAACTTGATAAGCTGACACCAGCTAAAATACACAAATTGGGTATAATGATGATATTGCATCTGCTTATAGCTATGAAAATAACTTGCTCAGTTGTATCACTATCTGCATTTTCAAACTCTTCACTTGAAAAAGCTCTTCTTACAGAAACATACCTAAATTTTCCTCAATGTTTCCTTTTTCCATTTATAAAACATCCGCAATGTGTTAAAAAAATAAAGCCTGTGTGACAAACAATGAGGTTACTCAGCATTCATGCAGTTTTCCCTCCACTAAAAAGACCTTTAACAACAACCATGCTTCAACACGGCCAGTCAAAAAACCAGCTGTATCAGAAAGTTACATCCCAAACAGCTACCCCACAGGGATGTACATTTGTAAGGGTACACACCCCAGAGAACTTAACTAAAATTAAATTTACAATGAGTATGCATTAAAAAAAAAAAACAAAACACTTACAAGTGTAGCAAAAAAGTCTGTGTAATACTGAATGCTCTCTTCCCGTGTGCTTTGCATATACCCAGCAAAGAAAGACTGGAAGAGGACAATATTTCTCATTGTAAGCTGAGAAAAGAACTTAATGAGTATCTGCACAATTTAGTTTAATTAACAATTTGATCACAATTGCCTAAGCTGTCCAAAGCTGAAGTAGCATAACGGCACTTGGAACCAGAATGTTCCGTTTACAAATTATCTGAAAAATTAAAGGAAAACAAATCCAAAACACCAAACCCCAGAAATCTCTGAGTCAAAAGATAGTTAAAATTCTTGTTTAAAATAAATTAAGATTTTTCAGAATTCAAAATTACTTTTAATTTCAGAGTCATACTTATTTTGCACTTAAAACTAGAACTAGTACGGATGGTTTCCCTTACCAAATTTTTTGAGATGCTAACTTTGTATCCTACTTTAAACAAGAAAAATAAAGTTTTATCTATCTTTCTCATTATACGCTGAATCTACTTTCTTCCAAGCTGCAGCAAAACAATTTTTTCCAAGTGATCTAAAGAAACTCACAAAACCAGAAAAAACCCCAAACCCAGGCCTTTTTGATAGAGAAAATTAAGACATGCTGGCCGGACTACACTAAAAAAACCCAAGAAAATCCCAAAACAAACCTACAAACTGAAGAATTCTCATTTTGACAACACTATTTACATAGACTTTTAGAAAATATATCTTATTATACTAGCCAGAAAAGAAGGAAAAAATAATGGGAGACAATTCCTGAATTAATGGAAAACAACTGTTTTTTTCAGGCATATGCTGAATACTGTAATTGCCATATACATATTTTAGATTCCAGGGATTTTGACAGTAATAGCCTAAAGCCTGCATAGTAATTTTTGTATCTGAGGGCAGCAAACATCTAGAGAACTGTAAAAAACAATGCAAATAGTCAGTTTTAAATGCAAAACACATTCATACTTAAAAAAAAAAATATCCAATACCACCACTTGGAAAGCTTTACTTTTCCCAACAATTTGAAAAATGAGTAGCAAAACTACTCACATGATTGGTTTTCACTAAAATAGCAAAAGAAATAGTCCTTCAGTGAATTCCTTCCAGGGAATACCTGGAAATTATGGGGAGTAGAACTTCTTTATTGAAAACTAAATGCTTGCTCATCACATGTACATGGAATATACAGTGTGTACTTCAAGAACAAGTTTCAGAAAAACAGCAAATTTGCTGTGATGCAAGTACAAGCCATGCTCACCTCTGTACTGAACTCCAGCCCTTGCTATCGGCTTTTAGTAGAAACCATCATAGGCTTAATTATGAGTAACTACTAATTAATCTCTATTGCTGATGACATGAATTTATTTACAAACAAGAGAAAAAAAGGATTTCCATATTTATTACCAGAAAAATATTGGCCTATCTAGGCCAAAAATAACTAGACTTACAACAAGAACTTAACTTCCATGTTAGCTGTAAATTGATCCGTTTGCTCCAAACAGGAAAACAAAAAGATTATCTGCTACTACAGTTATCTGTTAGCCTCATCTTTTTCCCCTCTCTGCCCTGGTACGTCAGTAATAACATTGCCTACCTCTGAGTATTTTCCCCTATAGTTGCCCAAACTGCGCTCCATTCTGCGCAGCCGCTGCAGCAACTGCTCTTTGCTGAGGCTGTCCATATTTCCTGGAGGCTCTTCTGTTTCACTTTCAATGTCAGAAGGTGGATCAAAGGTGGGACCAGATGCATCCAAGTCCAGTCGATTCAATGAGTCTCTTGAAGAAGTTCGTACCAGGGACTCCTTAGAAGAAGACCGGAACAGGGACTCTTTTACTGGGCTTCGAAACAAAGACTCCATGGAGGGAACTCGGAGCTGAAGCCTCTGGGCAAAAGACTGAGTGTCGTTTGGCTGCAAAAATTCAAAGGAAGTAATTACTCTGCACTGCTTTTAGGCAGACAGACACACTAAAGCCCAGGAAACTGAGAGAGCTGACCTGGGCAAAGGAACAACTGTTGCCTAACACATGCATGACACCAAATAGCTACCACTCCCTTAGAAGAATAATCTCCTTGTGCAGAGAAATCAAGCATGCAAATACCAGATGTGGGCAATTGCAGATAGCAATTGAATCCAATAAACTACAGCTTCGATTTAAACTTCTAAAAGAAGGTATTTCTGTGTAACCCCTTTTAAAAAAGTGAAGAATATGTACCTAATAGTTGCACTTACTGTTGACCCAAATGTAAAAAAAAAGTGTGACTCACTTCTTGATGTATTAAACAGAAGACTGTATTTATCTCAAAGACACAATGATATTCTCCTATGATTAAGAGAACAAATTTATTGTGAAAGTCCTTGTATAATAGCTAGTTCTACTATGCTGTCTTAAACAGTCCTTTTATTTCAAATGGCTTTATGATTTTTACATAAAATGCAATTATTGATTTATGCAGCTAAAGTACCTGTGCTGTTCTAAAACAAAAGGTTCTGTGCTATGGTACCGCATACTGCTGGGGCTACAGAAGTGATTTGAAAGTATTACCACATCATGTTGCCCTCACAATCAAATGCTGGGACATACGTGTTAGGATCCACTGCTAACCCCACTCCAGCAAGCTTAACTTTTTCTGAGACATATTAAAGAATGACCTCCACCTTTATCACTAGCAACTTTTTTTTTTAAGCCTACCAGTTATTTTCCTTCAGCTAGAAATTAGCTTTCTAGCCATGCAATATGCCCTCTACTTTTGAAAGTGAATTTAATTCAGCATATCCTGCGCTGGCTGTGTCCGTGAGCAACAAGCGCACCTTGACACAGGCAGCCTGCAGCACGCCGTCAGATACTGCTAACCTGCCCCTACAAAAAAAAGGCTCCACGCATCAGTGACAACACTTAATACCAACTAATGGGATTATACACACACAAAACACCCTAGTACCCTGACAGACTAGTACTTGTCATCCCTACTCCCACATGAAGATGTATACTGGGCACTTAAGCCAACATAACGCAGAGACAACATGGCAGTAAATGAGGAAATAAACCCCCCACATCCTCCCCATACCTGCGGGGAAGCTGCTCCACTTCCGTTGTTCTCTGTGGATCTGGGAAGTGGTTGTTTAGTTAAGTTCTACAGGAGGAAAAACAATTGTTAGAAGGAATAGACAAGGACTGTAATTCACTGGTTCCCACAAATAGCATCTGTGCTTTTTCCTTGCCTGTGTTTTTAGTACTTTCTTTTGAATGTTTATTAAGATGTCTTCATGCAAACAAGCTAGTTTGTTAAATTCAAAACAGATTGCTGCAATATACAGAACTACAAAGCAGCTATGTGTGCATGGATTAGTATGAGACATCTGCAAATGCTGACATCTCCAATTAAATTATTCATAATGATTATTTATGTAACATTTATGCACAAATCAAAGAAACACCAAAAAGACAAAATGATAGCAGGAAAAATGTAATTGATGACCAGTAGTGTTTACAGCTGACATGAGTAAGAGTGGAATCACACTGTCTGCTTAAGTACCTTGGGGGGGATGGGGGTGTGTGTGTATGTATGTATGTAAACTACCTGGAAAAATAAGTGCTGGCAACAAGCTGTTTAAGATTCCAAACCAGCACAGGAAGAAAATTTAGCAACACCTTGTGCAAAACTTCACACGTGCATACCTCTGCACTCCCAAAGAAAGAAAAACACCAAACAAGCCCATCAAAAAAACCCCAAAACCAACACAAGAGAAAACAATAGTTTTGGATTGGAGTTTTTTGTGTGGTTTTGTTTGTTGGTTTTTTGTTTTTGTTTTGTTTTAAACAGAAGTCAGACATTTCTGTTCCTAGGCTGTCTATCCTGCTTTTCCTATGTCCTGTGTTCAGGTGTTTTCTAACCTGTACAAATCCAGATGATTTTCTGGTGTTTAAACCAGGCCAAACTGAAGTAACAAAACATGCTAGAAACCATCTTGGACAATTTTTTTTCCAATAGAAGAAAAGCACTGAGACATATCGAACAAAGTATGAGGAATTCAGCTAAAAGCAGTGTAACTTTTAGTTTTTGATCAAGATGCACTCTGATAGTTATATGCAAGCTGTAAAATCTAAGGTGTATATACAACTAAAATATCAATCATAATCATCCATGTATCTGCTACATGATTACCCTCACAGCTTCTACTCTGTGTGGATACGCAGATAAGCATATATAAACATCAATGTAGAAGAGGAAGGACTCAGTGTAAAAGAGCTTCAGAAAGGTTTGACGTGGAGCAAAATGAAGGAAGTACAAAAATACCACAGAAGAAAGAGAAATCCAGACAGTTAAGGAAGCCAGAGAAATGAGCAGTCACCCAGATACAGACAAAGTGAAATGAGCAATAACCAGCCATACAAGAAGTCTGTTTGGATTTGGAAATTGCATTTCACTTGGCTTGAACAAAATCTGCACTGTGCTTCAAGAGCACTGTTCTGTTGTGGTGGATTTATTCCCTAGTGGATTAAGAGCTCTTACCAGGTTTTAAACTAAAGCACTCCTATGTTTTCTTCCCGGCTCCATTACCTGTTCTTTTTCATTTCCTAACTGGAAAGTTGATAAAAAGGGTAATCCAAATAAAAATTTATCTTCTGCTTTATAACTCACAGAGCATCTACTGTGCTAGTACTGGACTGACAGAGGAAGACAAATACTTCACCAAGAATTACAAACTAACTACAAACACTTCTTTCAAAAATCATATATTCTGATACCCACAAAAAGAATTAAAGGAATGGTTTGTACATCTAATTCATAAGTTTAAGTTAATAACACTTAAGATCTATTTAAAAACATAAGATAAGGAGATTTATTAAATCTAATAAGGTATTTATGAATATGAAAAACATGGATGCTGTTCTTTTCTGTGAAGATACCTAAAAAGCTGCCATTTAAGGATCTATGAAGATCCCTAAGAATGCCATTTCAAATCTAAACTGTCTCCACTTTTAAAATTTTCCCATTAATTTTGCTGACATCTTTGTACTCAATCTGTGTGGAAAAAAAAGTAAAACCTGTATTTGGGATTACACTTTCTATTGGCATAAATCATAAAAAGGATGCACTGATAAACTTTTATATAAAATGAGTACCACCAGAGGCATCTGGCTGCTGCAATTCTAAGTTACTGTGCTCTAGGGCAAAGGGTCATATTCTAATGTCCACACAGTGAAAGGTAAGCATGAATGGAAGTTGCTATATATAAGTACAGATTCAAGAGGCTTTGAAGAGCTTAAAAGCCCTAGCCTTTCATAAGCCTTAAGATATGTTTCAGCAAAACTAGAAGCACAGAGCACAGGCTGGCATTTTGATAGTCTTAAAACCAGCAGAGTTATGTCAGGGTTTCTGGAAAACATCAGAAGTCTTTCCTCCATGAACCCACAGAACATACGCAACTATCTCTCTATCCAAAGAGAGCTATACTTACAATCTCTAATTAAAAGGTTGCTTTTTGTTATTAAGATGTATAAACTAGAGCTCAGTTTTAACTGGAGCACATCAAGGCATTCTAGTGACACTTGTGCTTCCTTACTTCTCTATTTCTGAAATGCAAACTAATTCATCTCATTTATTTCTCAAATGTATAAATAGATTCATAAGCCTGAATAGTGAAAGCTTATATGTTTGCATTTAAAAACATTTTACTGTTCTCCCTCTTTCTCAGGTATTCCAAAATTGAATAAATCATGGAGGAAGGAAGGAGAGCTTAGTGCACATTTTCTTCCCTCATTTTCCTTTAATGTTTCTTTAAAAAGCCTCTCTGTCCAAGAATATTTGAACTGTTCCTTTATGCAACAAACCCCACATAGTTTAGTTAGTAAAGAGTTTATACTAACTTCACCTATGCCAAAAAATCCACAATTATAGTCACTTCCTGTGATGCTCACTCTCTTGGATCACACATCACTTGCACGCACACAGTTAAAATACTAGTCTGTTTTAGCAGAATTAATATGAATTTGTGTGTGTTAATGAAATTTTCCCTCTCCTGCATCTTTAGTTTACCTAGGTTTCCCATATGTCTATAATGGTGGGGTTTTTTAATATATATTTTTATATAATTGACCCTCCTCCTCCCTATAAACTTTTGCATTATGGTTTTCCAGTCCCCCAATTCTTACTGTGAAAGTACACCTCTTGAACTTTCAAAAAGTTCAGAAACAAAATCAGTTTTACAGGTAACATTATTAACACACATTGGTAACACATTAACATCAACTCTTACATTATAATTATTTGCTATATATGCAGTCTTGTATATAAATATGCAAGTCAGTGATTACTGTCACTAAAGTCTATACTAAAAGATAAAGACAACATTTTCGCATTCACAGAAATATGTTTTTTGAAATGCAACTGTACTAGGGATATTCTGTAGTGTGGTGAAAAACAGCCCACAACTGTTTACTGCTGTAAGTGTAGAAAAGCTTAAATAAATTCGCAGTGAAACTTTAAGTAATGATCACTGTACCTGGAATATAGTTTAAATACCCAGAACTGAAAAAAAAATTAATAAATCTAGTAACTCTTTCAAAACTACAGATTTCAGCACAGTCTGAATGTTCTCCTTGCTCCCCAGCAAAAAGCTCAATCTTGAGAACGCCATGAGTGGGCTAGTAATGAACCTGTGGTCTAAGGGCATGCTCTAAACAAGTGCAACCCTTTACAACAAATGAAGGCTTTCCACAAATCACCTTCTAATCATTGTTTCAGTCTAATCTTGCTTAGCTTGAGAGAGACAAGTCCAACATAACATAATGTGTTGTGCTATGTCCATCTGCTTATCAAATTTCTATCCTGTTACAGCTTGTCATTTCCAGTCTCTGTAAGAATGGTAAAAAAGCACTTGCTAAACTAGAAAAGCAAAGTAATCATAGAATCATAAAATCATAGAATGGTTAGGGTTGGAAGGGACCTCAAAGATCATCTAGTTCCCACCCCCCTGCCACGGGCAGAGACACTCACCACTAGACCAGGTTGCCCAAAGCCTCATCCAACCTGGCCTTAAACACTTCCAGGGAGGGGGCCTCCACAACCTCTCCGGGCAGCCTGTTCCAGTGCCTCACCACCCCCACAGTAAAGAATTTCTGCCTAACATCTAATCTAAATCGACCCTCCTTCAGCTTAAACCCATGACCCCTTGTCCTGTCACTACACTCCCTGATAAACAGTCCCTCACCATCTTTCCTGTAGGCCCTCCTCAGGTACTGGAAGGCTGCAGTTACATCTCCCCGGAGCCTTCTCTTCTCCAGGCTGAACAACCCCAACTCTCTCAGCCTGTCCTCACAGGAGAGGTGCTCCAGCCCTCTGATCAGCTTCATGGCCCTCCTCTGGCCGCACTCCAACAAACAAGCCAGTTATCCCTGTAGTAACTTTTCTGACACCTCCTGCTTAAAACCCAAAAAGCCAGAAGGATCGTGAGGTCCCACTTTCACGGTCTGTATTTGTTCAGAAAATCAAGATCAAGACAGCTTTTGCCCTTCTGCTCCACGGGAGGTTTCTGTCCTCCCTGAGCTCGCCTTAGGATATCTGCGTTATGCTTTGACAGGTGTACTGCCCCAGTCAAACTCCCCACCTGCTGTTGTCCCCAGAGCAGGTCATGCCCAGCACGAGCCGGACGTTTGGTGCCAGAAGCAAGAGCCCCCCCTCAGGGCTCGCCCCCTTGCCTCACAGGGTAAGTGAAAAAATGATCAGAAACATGTGTTTTGAATCACTATGGACTTAGGAATGCCATCCCTCTGAAGCATGTGAAAGATGCCATCACAGTCCTGTGACGATAATGAGAATAATACAGCTTTGTATGTGCATATGTTAGAAGGTAGAAGGCTCCTTTCCTCCCTATGCCTGCTTCTTTTTCTCCACTCCTTGTTCTCTTCCCACTGAGCTTCTCCACTTGTATACTGTGAAAACAACATTTCCAGGCAAAGAAATGTATACTTAAAATAAAATCTGGTTATTCAAAAAAAGGCTATTTATCCTCACAATAATAGCTGCCAGGTTACCAACTAGAAGTAGCTGAATTTCAAGTCTCTACGTGAGATAATTATTTCCTGCTACCATTAGTAGTGAATGACATTGTGAGGTTTTCACTCTACGCAGCAAAAAGCATGTAAATTTTAGACAAAAACAATCTCAATGTTTATCATCTCCATTTATCTTGAAATGCATACAGACATACATAAAAATGAACAGGAAGACTTTCAATGGCATTAATGAATTCTAAGCAAATGTACAAACTTGTGCAACAATTATTTAAGACCTGTGCAGAGTATGGTTACCTGTATAACAGAAAACATGTTAATTTTTTATGTTACGATAAATTCAAATCGTACAGCACACCAGCCAGGAGCTATCAGGTACTATCTCTGTGAAATTTAGTGCAGGGTTAGCGACAGGGTAGTTAAGATAGATGTCTTTGTGAGAACAAGCCACAAGCAACACTAGGTTTGCCTTCTAGTACAGTACTCTCCTCCCTCTGCTAGGCATCACTAAGAGGGGTGGGAGGACTCACCACACCGTCACTCTGTGGCTTAGGTTGTTGGGTGGGATCCAAAGCAAAGATAGTATACTCAGAGAGAAAAGCAGGTTCTGCTATCATCCCGGCTAGCAGCTGTCATTCAATGCAAAAAGTAGGAAAACGAAAATAAATCAAGTAATAAGGTAAAGAACGTTGCATGATTTTACTCAATTTTTCCATGCTATTTAAAACATCATAAAACAATACAGCAGTTTGAGACAACAGATATTTATAAAGGCAGGACATAACCAGAAAATACGCATTTAGACCATTTCAGAACAGCCAAAATACAGTTTTGATCATGTAGAAGTAGAGAAACACACAATTTAAAATAATAATAATAAAAAAAAAATCCTCATTTAGCCAAAGATAGAGACAATGTTTCAGGCACTGATATTGTAATTTTTTCTAAACTTCTGACTTATCTTCAGATACCTCTGAGCCTTCTTTGCTCTGTTATGCATGAAAAACTCATTATTCTAAAAATTCTATCAGTATTTCAGTTATAAACAATATAAATTGCATGCTTTCGACTATTTACCTTCCTTCTAGTGCTCTTATACACGACAATTCTAACTACATTAAAAAAAAAATCCTTACAAAATTTTTCAAGCTACTAGACTACTATTTTGTAAAAACACCACAAGTTGAATTAACCGTTTCATCAAGTCAGTATTAAGAAAGAGATTTAAATTCCTAGAGACTAAAAACATGATGAGAAAGAGATTCTGGAATTTGAATTCAAACTGTTAGGATGATAGAACATATTTCAAAAAATATTCCTCTCATGATTTCACTTATACACAAAAGTTCAAGGTTGATCTTTCTTATAGCCTGAGATTTCAGAACCGTGGTGTCTGCTGACTGAACCAAAACATGATGTGGGTTTTCTTTCTTATTATTTCAGAATAATTTTTTTCTACTTCAAGTTACTAAATAGTATTTTTAGGAATCAAATCTATTATAATGTAAGTTGGGGGTGGTTTTTTGTTTGGTTTTTTTCGGTGAGGTGTTGGGTTTTTTTTAGGGACTGTTACATTGACTCCAGTGCTCCAGTAGATGAATTAAATTCAAATTGAGAGGGGAAAAATATTTTCATGTGTAAGATCTGGAATGCTACATGACTTGCAATCTGCGTCCACCAAACCCTTTCAGAAAATGTATTAGGTGCATAATGCTCAGTGACAGCCATACACAATAGCCTCTGAATGTTGGTACTGACTCCCTATTGTCTTTTCTCTAATCTATTTCTACTGAAAAAACCCAAATAATTACTGAAAAACCCAAGCAAATGAGACCTAAATTACCAATCCTGCAGAAAACAAAGCAAAATAAAACCTAAACAATGTGCTTTTATTGCCTCTTATGTGATTCACTATATTATATACAGACACACACACCCGGTACAAATGTCCATTACTGAAGAATTTTGCGAGTTACATCAGAAGATCTTCTAGAGCTACAAAGGGAAAGAAGCTTTGGTTTATGGTCAAAAAAACCCCCAAACCCCAAACACTCCAAAATTGTAAACTTTCTTTACAGACAGGGTATCTGCAGAGCACTAATTCTAAAATTTATGCCCAACTTTTACTTCTCAAACTGGTAAGTACAGCGACAATTAATTCCAACTTCTATTCTTCAGCTGCCCTTGTCACAGCATTCCCAAAGCTGGCATGGGACAAGTACTCCAACAGTTTATTTGATTTGCCATGAACTAGCTAGGTCTGAGAAACTCAGGTTAAACTTCTCCCTTTTAAGCTACTACAAACATGAACTGCTAACAAAGAGATGGTCTCATTTCTCCTGCTCCCAATGTTCTTCCTCCCAGCCTGGGCACGCTTGCCCAGTGCATCCCCTGTGGTTGCAACCACATGCTGAGTTTGGTCAGACTGGTCACCCAGTCCCCCTCTCTCAACACATTAGAAGATAAACTTTGCCATCCAATCAATAAATTGACACGCAATTGTATGGTCAGATACTAGAGAGGCAGAGGCCCCGCTGGCTGGGGTTAGGCAGGACTGCTTCTTGAAGCATTAACCTGCAATCTGACCAATGAAGCATAAAGCAAAACAAAACCTAAACCTTTGTAATGTGAAACTCTAACCACATTCCGAAGTGGATGTAAAAAGTCTAAGTCTAATTTCTAAGAGTAACCTGTGTTAAAACTGCTGCTATAGATTTTTTCAAACGTGTAAAACCCATATTAAGTTTCTTTCCTCATCTGAGCTTTTAGGTAAAAAAACAAAAACAAAAAACCCCACCAAAAAACCAAAAAGGAAGCTGACAAGAAAAGTGTTAATGAACACAGAGAAGTATTAATGATTCCAGACAATCTTCCTAAGTGGTTGTAGAAGCTCATAGCCTTGGCCTTGCTATGCATTTTGTACATGTACCTCTTGAAAAAGTATATACCAGAAAAAGAAACAGTGAATGCTAGGTATACACAAGTGTATACACACATATACAGCAGCAGTACTACAAGCCAGCCTGGTGGCCTTGTGAATTAGAAATACATAAATTCTCAGCCACAAGTAAAATGTTGATGAAATCTTTAAGACAAAAATTACTTTTTATGTTTAGAGAAGACCAGTTACAATGGTGAAACACAATTTGCAAGGCAATCATAAATGGATTATGGCAAATACTATTAACCAAAGGATTATGAATGCTATCAACATGTAACATGTATTATCTTCAGCTTAGTTAGGTCACCTTTAAAAACATGACCATCAAGAGCTTCAGGAATCATAGATGGTTCAAATTATCTCTTTGTAGTAACAGTATGCTGATGTTTGCTTCTCAAAATATTAAGTAGTGAAATTTCACCATAGCATTATTTTCCTTAATCCAAATTCCATTAAATAGTACAAGCAACTTGTATTAAAAAGAATTACTATTTAATCTCTAATAAATTATTCTTCACCTGAAATAAAAAAAAAAAAATTGACTGTCAGTATGTTTAGCACTCATGAATTGTTATATTTTCAATCACAACCTCAAGTCCATGACCATCAGTGCAGCCAAGTTCTAACAAGAAGCTTTAAAAGTAGTGTCTTAACACTAAACTTAATTAAAAAAATTCAAAACTTATGGTAAGATGACAAAAGAGCTTTAAACAATGGAAAGAGTCAATTTTTAAAAATCACTCAAACTACATGGTAGGCAAATTATAGGGAGTATATGTAATTCCCCTCTAGCAAGATCAGGAGATTCAAGCTATCCATAGCCTAAAATATCCCAATCCACATTACTAATTGTTGAGGTTTTGAGAAAAGGAAAGAAAAAAATCCCTTAAGAATATAAATTGATGCAGTACTGCTTGAATTTGCAGACATACAACTCTAGGTTCTCTATCACAACTAATAGTTTACCCAAACAGTAGAATGCATTTAACAATACTATTGAGTTTCAAAGATGTTATTCAAAACCCTGAGGCAAGAACGTCACTAAATCATCTCAGCTTCACCCTACTGTTGCTTGAGTAAAGGCAAACACAAAAGGGAAGGAGCCAACTCTATGAATAAAGAAGGGCAGAAGATGACAATACTGAGGCAGAACATTAATCACTGTATCAAAATGAAATCGCAAAAATATTTCCTCCCCAGTAGCCAAGACAAGAGTTTCACAATTCAAATAGCTACCAAAGACAGAATATACTCAGTGATGGTCCAAGAGTGGTATTTCCTTAGCACATTTTGAACTGGCTGCATCTCCTCAGTTCATTCTCCATTCTTGGATGTTGGGTACCCAGCAATGAAAATATTTAAATACTTGCTCACAGTATTTTTGTTACTCCAGCAGATCATTACCTGCTATGTTTATACAGCTATATTAAAGGCAGAGCTGTCTAATGAGCCCTATATATTTAGACTACCTAATGCTTTCCAAAATATACATGTGTTTTGATCTGTACTTTTTAATTTTTTTTTAATCAACTATTCAGTATGGCTTTAAAACTAGCTGTCTGGCTAACTGGGGTAGGGTTTACAAAGACACTAAAAAAATTCACCTACACCTGGAAAAAATGCAAGAAACAACCTGCTAGTTTGCCAAAATTAAACAGATATAAATGTTTCCACAATGGCTTCTTGCACTTCAGGATTTGGCCTAAAACCCACTCTGAATTATCTCAGTATCTTCAGAAACATTAAATGCATCTGGTGCTATACTGTCTAATGTATCACTAGGATTATGTCAGTAATGTGATCAATAAAAAGAGACAAGCAGGGAATCCAACTCGGCTGAAGCATACTGGAAACAGACAGAATATGCAAAGATCTGAATAATCCTTTAACAAATCTCTAATTCTCTGAATGCCATCAAATCATGCTTGAAGCTTGCTATAGAAACCCTACTAAGATCTTCCAACATTCTGTTTCAAGCATACTACAGGGTAAATGAATTCCCTACCCCATACTGACCTTTATCTCAGGTACCAAATTAAGGCTATGATGTTGCTGATCTTTTGTCACAATATTTAACTCTTACTCCCCCCCCCCCCCAGTAAAATCTTAGTGACCAACAAACATTCCTATCATGGAGAGAAAATTACAAATGAGGTAAATTAGGTGATGAAGCCTGACACCAGATGATGCTATGTTTCCTCCAGCATTACTAAAAAACAATACATAACATTATTTTTTTTAATATTCTTTGTATTTCTAAAATTCTGAACAGTTTTTATAGGCCTCAAGTCTGGCCCATGTTAAGCAGCCTTACTTATTCTTTATGGACTTTCTGAACTTCAGAACCATGTTCATGTTATTCTTGCTATTATTCCTCCCCTCTCTGAAGAATTACCATGCTCAAATCTTCCTTTGCTAAGATTCTGATGACTGGGGCACAAAGGCCATAGTACATGTGTTCCCTAGATCAAAGGGCTTCCTTCACATGCTGTAAAACAAACCCCAGAATTTAACAGGGGTTAGAGTTTGACTCAAGTCTCATTGCTGTGGTGATGGGAGTAGTTGAGTCAATGCATGTTACATACACATATGTTTGATTGCCAAAGGCAGCCATTACTCCCTTTCAGAAAAAACAAGAAGAGAACCAGTGGTTCCAAGTTTCAGATCAACCTGGTA